GTGAAAAGGTGATGAAGAACAACAGACGAGTGAATGGAGAAAGACACTTAGCTGAAGAAATAGCATCAAAGTTCACCCATTTATAGGGAGAAATCACACGGTCTTCGATGTCTTCAAAAGACGGATCGGCAAGCGTAATCAATGCGTTCTTGAAAACTGAATCGACGGCGGTACTGCCACTTAGAGGAACGAGAATCGACAATGCATTGGATGATGTCGAAAAGACAAGTCCAAGGTATTTCCCGGTTGTCGCAAAGGCTCACGTCATAGGTTACATCACCGATATGACATCGGCGCAGGGAACTTAAAGAGTTGGTCATCAAATTCGTTTCCTATCACCTTGATCTAGGAAACGCGAAGACTATCAACATACAGCAAAATTGGAGGGTCCAATTTCCCGTCTTTTAAGCATCTCGAAAGATCGACTCAAAGCCTCGAGGCTGCAAAGATGCACTCGAGTCTTCTCGCTCGGGGCCCATCGGCACCCGGCCTCGGAAGGATATTGATCGGGGCTAAAGCAGAAATAGGAATTCCCAAGACACAGCTAAATCTGTCACGGCTAAGTCTGGCAAAGCATAGCCAGGCTACTCTGAGCCCTACTCGAGGCATCGTTTCAGCCGTCCTATCTCCACACCTTTACAACTAATATGTGACTTACCATCTAAACTTCTCCCCTTTTATAAAAAGGGGATTCGAACTATGTTGTAGAAAACGGATGTTGCTCCAAAGACTCTACATGAAATATATGATAACTCTCTCTCTTTCTCTCTAAGATACTCTCTCGACACTGTTGTTCTATCCTATTATTTTCATACTTGTTTCATATTTATTGCTTGTTTATTGCTTATCATTGGCTATAAAGAGACTCCTTTAATATTATTGCATCTGTTAACCCTTTCCCGATTTCCCCTGATAGCTCGAGCCCGAGCTCGAGACTCGACCTCGAGGCCCCAAATCGACCAGCTCAAGGCCTCGAACGGCTATCTCTCGGTTCGATTACCGCTTTATTTTAGCTCGCATATCACCCTCAAACTGCGCACTCACAGCATCAACTGCTCCACGACTAGAATAAAAATAGATCACGTATTTTTAGAATCCCATCAACAAATCTAATTGTCATTACCATTTTCACGGTAAACAAGGCTAAATTAAGATATTTAAGGATTCGGAACACAGAATCTAGTTCTAAAACATGAGATGACCTATCAGGTCATTACATGCACTCATCTTGATCTTCTCCTAAAGTGTTAGCCTTTTCAAGGATAACCTGCTCTGATACCAATTGATATATTATACTTCAATACCACACGAGAAAGGGGGGGAGGGTGGTGATTTGTGTGGTGTCCCATTTTTTGTGTGAATGGGACAGTTGTGGAATAATAAATGTAGAATGTAAAGAACACAAGTGTTTTTACGTGGAAAACACTCGGTTCAAAAGGTGAGAAAACTATGACCTACTACCTAGTAGGATTTTCCCAACACTTCACTAAATCGCTAAGCCAAAACAACATTTACAAAACTCTTGTAAATCTAAGGATTACCTCTAGCCCTTTGTGGCAACCAGCCTCAAGCTGTTGCGACAATCTTCAAGTTAACTCTAACTTGAATACTACAACTCAAAGTACCTAGTACACATGCTTCTAGATAAAGCTGAAAGGTACAACTCAAAAGCCTTACTACAAATGAACTAGAATAAAAGACAGACACTTGGTACTGGTTCTTCTATTTGGTTCGTGTAGCTTTAGGTTCGCACACTTGCATCACACATGAATTGCTTGCCAAATGCCTTGCTATTTTGCTCTCAATTCTTGCTTAACTTCAGTGTTTGTGCATCACTTGTAAAAGAGAACAAACTGATACATCTAGAGTTGGTAGAATAAGAAATAACTAGAGTTCTAATTCCATACTCTTCCTTGGTGGAAGAGTTCTAGTTATCTTCAGCTTCTAACTCCTCTCTTATCTAGGATATAGTTCTCTTCGAGTATGGAGTCCTGCTCCTTATCTTTTATACAACCTTTTCGTTCAGGAGATATCAGATACAACTGCTTAAGCTTATCTCTTTCACGTGCATGCCTTGTGCTTGAATTTGCCCGTGTCTGTGTACATTGTGTATGGACCTGGTTCATGTGTGTGTTTCTTTGTCAATCATCAAAACAAATTTACTCAGGCCATTTTTGATAAGGCTGAGCACGTCCCAACGTTATATGGATATTGTGAAGATTCATCATGAATTTCCTAGTATTATGTACGCTGAATACCAACCTATCACAATCCTTTTCTTTTATTCGAATTTGTAACAGAAAATGATCAAGCTTGTCATACAAAAATTTACTCATATGTGTAGTCTTTTTTGTTAGCTTCAAGGTTTCACGTATTAATTTTGATGACAACAAACCAACAAAATTATTAATCAAAGAATATTTTCTTGTGGTAATCTTATTTTTGTACAGGTTTATTCAAGAAAGAAGATGCTGATAAAGATCCAAACAAATATGGGAAAGAGAATATTATGTGAAGAATTTATCTTGGAAGTTTATTATGGGAAAGAGAATATTATGTGAAAGTGAATATCAAATACTGAATGACTCACTACAATATCAGAAGAAGAATCTCCAGGATATTATGGATGGAAAGTTTTTCAACATCTTGAAAGGAAAGATGCTAGAATCATGGAGAAGATCTATTACTTTATGGAAGAAAAATGCTACATGGACAAGATACTACAAGACCAAGGAAGAATATATTTTCTATGGAAAGAAAATATTTTATTGATGTAGTACAATCTATACTATGGAAAGAGATTATTTTCCAAGATCAAGAAAGGAATATTTTCAATATAATAGAAGAAGAATATATTTTCTATGTAAAGTAAATATCTCTATTATGGAAGATTATTTTACAAGATCAAGAAAGGATTTCTAATAGGAGTTCAAAGATGTCATTATTATTTATGGGAAAATATTCTTACTACATTTCCCCTTTGGTATGAAAAAATAAAATAATGTATGGAAATAAGTTTGAGTCCATATAAAGAATGACTATTGCTCTTATGAAAATTCATCAAGGCTATGGAAGGTTGAAGAAGATGCACGTGGAGATGGAGTTATGAAATGCAAAGTTCTATAAAGAAGATCAACCAAGATATTGCTTGCAAATAAAGAGCAAATATTCTACTACCATAAAAGAAAAAGAATCCTCTACACAAGGATTCTCATGCTGGTACTCAATGAAGAATTTTCATATTCATGAAAGGAAAGTAGAGAAAATTAGGATCTGTCAAAGTACATGAAGTCAAACAAGGAAAGAAAATCAATATTGCAAAGATGCCCATATCCATCTTCAAAGGAGTGACAAGTCACCATACTATCCATATTCATACAAGTGCTGGAGCTGCAAATTATGGAAACAAATAAATGATCAACGGTCAAATCCCCTTGGAATGTGCAATAGCGATAACAAGTTGAGAGAGCTATAAATATACAAGTTCGATGAAGGAAGAAAGTACGCAACCTTCTATACAATTATCTATCCAGCTACAAGTTCTTTATTCTACTCTTAACAAGCATTGTAATTCACTTTAGTAGATTTACTGTGTACCCAAAAGAGAGAAGAGAGACAGAAAAATATTGGAGAGGCAGTGTGTCCTAGAGGTTGTGTCATTGTTCGTTTCTTTGTTGAGCGAGTGAAAACCAAAGGGTCGTTGTTGGTGAGCGAGTGAAAACCAACCGTGTCAGCGTTGGTGGTGATCGCTGAAAAATCATAAAGGTTGTACTCAATTCAATTACAAAGAGCTCTAAAAGATAACACTCTTACAACCCAAGAGGACTGGATTAGGATACCATATTGGTTCCGAACCAGTAAAAAATTCCTGGTGTCATTTACTTTATCGCTCTCGTATTATATTCTGTTCCTTTATTGTTTATTGTGATTAATACTTGTTTAAATCGAAAGAACTAACAGTTCTGTGCAGGCTGTCTCCGCATAAGTCGATTAGGTCTGAAGGGTAGTCGACTAGAAATTTAGAAAGGCTACAATTCACCCCCCTCTTGTACTTTCATTTTTCACATAGACTGATCGCTGGATTACAAAATCAATAATGATCATTATTTAAACTTCAATGTTGTGGAGTCAGCCTGATTGGTTTCTTACTGGTCATAGTCTTATTTGGGTTTTCTGGCATGAATATATCCTGAAAATGGTTGAACAAGAATAACTTCTTCAAAGCGTAGCAATAACAACATTCACGTGCTGAAACTGCGACTGAAATATGTCCAAACTTTAGCTAATATAAATCTAAGAAGATGATTAAGAAAAGTTGTAAACGACTGCAGTATAAAAAAAATATTACTTCATCCGTTCCAATTTATGTGAACCTGTTTGACTAGGCACGAAATTTAAGAAAAAATGAAGACTTATGAAATTTGTGGTCCTAAACAAGTTAAAAAGGGGCCCAGAGTATTTGTGTGGTTATAAAAGCTTCTCATTAAGAGTAGAATTGTAAGTTTATACTAAATTGTTTCCAAATTTAGAAAGGGGTCATTCTTTTGGCACGAACCAAAAAAAAATAGGTTCACATAACAAATTTTTTATTGAAATGAAGATGATTTGAATTGATATATTGATATGATAATTGACTGATTTTATTCTCATATTTTCTGTAACATGTAGGTGTTATCATTGCCATTTGATTGCCGAACAACTTCTTTACGCGATTGAAATTCTATTTCGGGAAGCTTTATAGTATACGCAAGCTCTAGTTAAACATCTTTACTCGGTTGCTTTCAGTTTATAATAAAGATCGGAATAACAAAGCTTAATTATTTTTCGTTATATTAAGTAGGAGTTCCAAAGAAATTAGTTTTTCCCCTATACATGTTTGGTTTCCAACTTGTTTAAACAATAACAACATACCTAGTGTAATCCCACTAATGGGGTGTACCCAATTTGTTCAAAATATGTATATAAGTTGATCCTTTTTTGTCAATAAAATATACTGGACAAATACGCATAAATCAATCATAGATCACAATGTATTACATTAGCACAAATGACAATCAATGCATAGCACTCAGAGTGTAAAAATGACACAAATACATCGTTAACAATCACTCAAAGATTAAAATGACAACAGCAAAAGGAAAAAGTTTTTGAAAAAATCACGCGGTAGAGATCAATAGGGTAAGACAGCAAATGCAGCGAGAGCTGCAAGATAACTAGTTGGATGGAGGAGATGAAAGTGTAGGAATGGTTGAAATTGTCGGAATGTTTGGAAGTGAAGGCATAGGAATACTGGCAGGCATTGGTGGCAGAGTCATCGTTGGAAAATTGGGCAATGTAGGCAGAGAAGGCAATGTTGTAGTTGTTGGAAGTGTTGGCAAAGATGCAACACTTGGCAATGGTGGCAATGTAGCTGCAGTTGGCAAGTTGGGAATTGTAGGCAATTGTGGCATTGTTGGCTGAGGCAATGATGGGATTGTAGGCAAATTTGGAAGTTGAAGTAGGCTGCGAGCAGCATGTGTTGTAGTGATGCTTGATGAGGACAATAATGTTATGATCAAGAAAAGGATAGAGTAGTTGCTAGAGGAAGCCATTGCTAATTTGCTCAAGATTGAAGCTTTGTTTTCCAAGGAAGTTAAGTTGTGTTTTGAGTTGAGATGAGTTTGATTATTAGTACTAAAGGGTATATATAGGGGAAGTCTTGAGGGACTACAAGTATTTGGTGTGATGTTAGGTGAGGAAGCATATGCTTATGCTCTAAATTCTACCACTCTATTATTAGTTAACCTGAAGGGAATAACCTGGAGTAATGGTAAAGTTATTTTCGTGTGACCTATAGGTCACGAGTTGTGGAAATAGCCACTAATGCCTGTATTAGGGTAGGAGTCTTCATCACACCCTTTCTCCGAACCCTGAATGAATATAGAATACCTTATGCGCCGGAATCCGGATTGTCCGATTGTTATTAATCTTCTCTAATTATGCTGGTTTGAGGGGCATGAGATTTTTAAGTCATGAAGTTTTATGAGAGTTGTTATGTATAGATGAAATTTGGATCAACCATATTTGGTGGACAATTAATAAACCACTAATTGATGTAATCATTTTTTAATTTATAGTTTTAAATTAAATATTGTATATTGGTAATTTGCTAAATGGCACCATGGGATTAGGATGGTCGTACTCTTTCACGGTTACACCGATGTTCATGCACATATAAAACATTTAAGCACCTAACAAACCACCAAAATAATTACTCCCTCCGTTCCAGTTTATGTCAACCTATTTTCTTTTTAGTCCGTTAAGAAAAGAATGATCCCTTTCTAAATTCGAAAATAATTTAGCTTAAATTTCTAATTCTATCCTTAATGAGAAGTTTTTTTAATCACACAAATACTCTAGACCCCATTTTGACTTGTTTAGGACCACAATTTCCAAAAGTCTTAAATTTTTTTAATCACACAGAAATTGTTAACTTGCTTTTCTTTTTTTAAATATTTTTTTGTTGCATATAGTTTCTCCTATAGGACAGTGTCAGTTGATCCTACCAATTTTGTTCAACTACCTAGGAGATGTTTGCTTGCCTAATTACTGATGGTCAAATAACTAATCAGCTCCACAATATTTTGAAGTCAAACACTTTAATTTCTATGTGTAATGTTGTCCTCCGAAGAAATGATATGCTTGTTAGGGATCCCTGACGAAAATAGTGATACTAAACTTTCTTTTTTCAGATTTTTTATACTAAAAAAGGAACCAACTTTAGGGTGAGTTTTACTCCTATTTATTTACAATGCTACAAGGCTAAGAACTTCCGACCGATATTGTGGGGATTCATCATAAATTTGCTAGTATTATATTCGCTGAGTATCAGCCTATCACATTCCTTTTCTTTTATTCGGATTTGTGACCGGCAATATGAGTAAGCTTGTCATCCAAGAATCTGCTCGTATCAGCATATGTATAAGTCATTTTCACATGGACTGATCGCCAGATTACAAAATCAATAATTATCATTATTCAAAATTTTGAGGAATGTAAACTAATGCACGCGGAAATATGCTGCTTTTCAGTATGATTTATAGGGGAGGAGTTGATCTGAAACTTTGTGACGGAAATATGTCCAAACTATAGCTAATGTTAGTCTAAGAAGATGGTTAAGAAAAATGTAAAAAAGTTTGTAAACGAACTCAGTATATGAAAATATTACAATCATTTCATCGAAATGAAGATAATTTGCACTGTTTTATTGATATGATAATTGGCTGATTTTGATATATATATATATATATATATATATATATATATATATATATATATATATATATATATATATATATATATATATACAAGGAGTCCTATTTATATGTGGGCTGGTCGTTACTGCGCATAAACCATTATAAATTGTGTCTGTTTGCTTGACTCAATTTTGGGATACGGCCCTTCCTAGGACTCTACGTGGAATGCTTTGTACACCGGGCTGCCTTTCTCTTTTTTTTTTCTTTTTTTTTTTTCTGTTCGCTTGACTCAATTTTGCAAGAGTATTTTATGTTAGTATTATCTCCTTTTGAATGTAAATTTTTAAGTTGTGCTAAATCTGTATAATTACCTAATTAACGTTGCGATATCTTCAAATTTGGATTATTGGCCTTTTACTAAAAATGACCTTGTCAAAGTATAAATCTTCTTCGGAGTTCAATGATCTTTGCATATTTTTTAAACCCCTTTCTCACATTTTCTGTAACATGTTTGAGTTATCACTTATCATTGCCATTTGATTGCGGAACAACTTCTTTACGCGAGTGAAATGCTATTTTGAGAAGCTTTACATACCGTAAGCTCAAGTTAAACATCTTTACTCGATTGCTTTCAGTTTATAATAAAGATCGAAACAATAAAGCTTAATTATTTTTCAGTATTAAGTAGGAGTTCCAAAGAAATTATAAGTTGATCCTTTTTTGTCAATAAAATATACTGGATAAATACTCATAAATAAATAATATATCACACTGTATTACATTAGCACAAAGGGAAATCAATGCATAGCACTCAGAGTGTAAAAATGATACAAATACATCGCTAATAATCACTCAAAAGATTAAAATGACAAAAGAAAAAAGAAAAAGTTTTAAAAAGAATCACGCGGTAGACACCAATAGGGTAAGACAGCAAATGCAGTGGGAGCTGCAAGATATATAACTAGTTGGATGGAGGGGGTGAAAGTGTAGGAATGGTTGGAATAGTGGGAATGGTTGGAAGTGAAGGCATGTTGGGAAGAGGAATAATGGCAGGCATTGGTGGTAGAGTCATCTTTGGTACAGAGGGCAATGTAGGCAAAGATGGTAAATTAGGTGTAGTTGTTGGAAGTGTTGGCAATGGTGGCAATGTGGCTGCTGTTGGAAAGTTGGGAATTTTAGGCAACTGCGGCATTGTTGGCTGAGGCAATGACGGTATTGTAGGCAAGTTTGGAAGTTGCAGTAGGCTACGAGCAGCACGACTTGTAGTGATGCTCGATAAGGACAACGCTATGATCAAGAAAAGGATTGAGCAATTAATGTTGGAAGCAGCCATTGTTAATTTGCTAGATTGATGCTTTGTTTTATAAAGAAGTTAAGTTGTGTTTTGAGTTGAGTTGAGTTTGATCATTAGTACTGAAGGGTATATATAGGGAGAGTTCTTAAGGGAATACAAGGATTTGGTGAGCTGTTAGGTGAGAAAGCATATGCTCTAAATTCAAAAACTCTATTGGTAGTTAACCTTCTCTTTGTTGGTTTGAGAACAATGCACCAGCTTTTAGGTCAAGAAGTTTTATGAGAGTTGTTACGTCCAGATGAAATGTGGGTCAACCATATTTTGTGGACAACTGATATCCCTCAAAATACAACTCAGTTCATCTTCAGTAAACAACAAACATGAAATGGCACCTGCAATTAGCACTGGTCAAAGTAAGATCATTCAATAAACATAAAAACGGGAATGTCAGGCTTGATTGTTTCGATCCATGCATTATGAGTTTAGATTAGCTATTAACATTAGCTTAATAGCTTCCGCTTCCTTAAAGTTCAAAAATATCAAACAAGTTAAGAAACCTTGTTAATGATTTTTGACAGGACTAGTAAGAATGTGTAGCACTAAAATGTGCCACATGCAAAGGGCTATCCCAACCATAGTCTAGAGTTAGTGAGTTCAAAAAATCTAGCTGAATTTCTGGAGAGTAGATTGAGGTATATAGAGAGAATGAGCTGAAAGGGAAAGTCTTGACCTGTCGCATTAATTGAAATACAATACAGTTGTCACTTAAACAGCTCGCAGTTATTACCCTATGCTACAAACATTTGCAGATTTTGCTGGTGTACTTCTTGCTAAAAAATAATTCAAATTTTCAATTTTTCATGTGCTAATGTCCACACTATCTTCATGAATTCGAACGACGGGTTCCGATTCACGTAAAATTTTGTGCGCCCATCAATAACGACCTAATGAACAATAATCATTACTTTGCCATGATCGTTCTTCATTTTTTGACATTTTAGGACCATCAAACAGAGATTAAGGACGACTTCCGTTTTTTGGTGTACTAATTAATGTCCACGTCATCTTAATGAATTCGAGCGACGGTCTCCGAATAGCCTAAAATTTTTTGGGTCCATCAGAAACGACCTAACTAATAGTAGTCATCACTTCGCCGTGACCGTTCCTCGTTTTTTGGCGTTTTAGGGCCATAAAACAAGAATTCAAGATGATTATTAATTTTGTGTGCTAATGTCCACGCCATCTTCATGAATTCGGGCGACAGGTTGTAAATTGCCTAAAATTTTGTGGGCCTATCATAATGACCTAATTAACAATAGTCATTGCTTCGTCATGACGGTTCCTCGTTTGTTGGCAATTTAGGGCCATAAACATGAATTAAAATGATTTTCAATTATTTCATGTGCTAATGTCCACGTCATATTCATGAATTCGGGCGACGGGCTGTGAATCGCCTAAAGTTTTGTGGTCCCATCAGAAACGACCTAATGAACAATAGTCATTACTTCGTCATGACCGTTCCTCGTTTGTAGGCATTTTAGAGCCTTAAATCAAGAATTAAAGACGACTTTAGGATCAATTTTCGTGTGGTAATGTCCACGCCATCTTCATGATTTCGGGCAATGGGCTTTGAATCGCCTAAAATTTAGTGGACCCATAAAATAAAACCCGATAAACAATAGTCATTGCTTCGCTATAAACATTCTTCGTTTGTTGGCATTTTAGGGACATAAAATAAGAATTCAGAATGATTTCCAATTTTTCGTGTGTTAATAACGTCGACGCCATCTTCATGAATTCGGGCAACGGGCTCAGAATAGCATAAAATTTTGTGAGCACATAAAAAATGACCTAATGAACAATAATCAGGGTTTCGCCATGACCGTTCCTTGTTGTTTGACATTTTAATGCAATAAAATAGGAATTCATGACGATTTTTAATTTTTCGTGTGCTAATGTCTACACCATCTACATGAATTCGGGGGACGGAAACCGAATGTCACGACCCCAAACCACCTCGGTCGTGATGGCGCCTATCACAGTACTAGGCAAGCCGATTCAACACTAATAACATAAAGGTCTTTTATAAATTTCCTTTCCAAATCAGTTAAAAACACAAGTCTTTCATTTTAATATAACAAAATACGCAGAAAAATAAATATGC